CCTTATTTCACACTGCTAGTCCTGAAAGCATTCTTTGGAAGGCCCATGTAGCCTGCTTTCTCTTGGAATGTTTAATTTCCACAATATGGTCTCAGTTATCTTTTATCCAAGGTGCAGTGTGTTTAATGAATGTATTAGAATTCATGACTTCTCAAACCAATCTAAACCAAGGTGCAAGGGAGATAGTTACTCATCCTCTCTCCTGAGTCTCTAATTGGTAAAAGTTCAGGGAGTGCAGGTCAGGGTCATCCTTGGGAGTGGGGTGGGTTGGGGAAATTTAAATGATACCATTAGTCTTGCACTTTACCCCCTAGATAAGCTGAAGAATAACTTTCCCTAACTCTGTTATAAGCCAAGAAAAAAAAAATGGAATTTCTGAGGTTACTGTTTGGCACGTCTGAGGCAGAAATTAGAGATTTCAATGACAAGAATTAAAGGGGGGAAGAATCAAAATTCTTATCTTTCAATGCACTTGCTCACAGTGCAAGGTAACCTCACCAAACCGTAAAGAAGAAGTAAAACAGTTCACATGGAGAGGAGGGGGCTCTGCATTAAATCTTAGTAATAAAGAACAAGCATTTTCTTAGCATGAGCATACACACTGGGAGCTAAGGCTGACCAGTGTCAGAAGGCAACACAGGAATTGGATTTCCTCATGTCTCTAGAGATCCAAGTAAAATTTAAGACCAGCCTGTAAATCAAGATTATAAGAGTGCAGCACAGCTATGGTCCAAGAGGGTTAGAGGTAATCTAGACATATACATCCCTTTATGAAAAGTAAGCACTTGGTCTCAGAACCCGAGCAGGAGAAATTCAGTTAGTAGAGCATGGCTAAAAGGTTAACTAGAGGATATCATCAAGCTTATGAGCAGGCAGGGCTGGGAACTGGCTCAGCTTAGCATGCATGAGGTACTGGGTTTCATCATGCTGAGATTTCTGAACGCTGTCTGGAAAGGACTAAAAAGAAGAAGAACAACAAAAGATAGGCTGGGAAGGGAAATTTAGCTTAAGGGAGAAAAGGGCTGCTACTGGGCAGGAAACAACTCTCTGCTCAGTATGGAAAAGGATAGACAGTTCTCTCACCTTATTCCTTGTTTGCAGAATATTAAAGACATACAAGATCTTGTTAATAACTCAAAGTCAGTCCATGTTAAATTGCTTATTCTTCTTAATTTTAAAATGATTGGCCAGGATAGCAAATGGCACAAGTATATGTTTATATGTATGCAAATAAGATGGAAAATAAGAAAAAAATGTGTTTCTTATCTTGCTAACTTAATTATACACTAATATGGTTAATAATAATGACGACCTAGGCTGGGGGTGTTTTTCAGTGGTAGAATTCTTGCATAGCATGAGGCCCTAGATTCTATCCCCAGTACCAATAAATAAATAAACGAATATGACCTAAAAACTCAAACCATGAGCTGCATCTAATAGAACTTTTTTGGTTCTGGTTGGGCTTAATTTCACATTTTTTATGGGTAACTGACTTCATATGAATTCCAGTGTTAATATAATTTTTTTCTTGTTGACTGCCACACAATGATGAAGTCATACCTATTACTTCTAGAAGAATCAAAGAAAAAGAAGGATAAGAATTTCGCACCTTTACAGCAGTCTCATGAGAGACTTTGAGCCAGAACTATTCAGCTAAGCTGCTCATGGATTCGTGACCATAAGAAACCATTTGAGCTACTGTTTAAAGCTGCTCAATTTTGTTAAGCAGCAATATATAACTAATATAATGCCTGAATATAACCTTTCTCCCATATGCCAAGGAAAGCTAAGCAAAAATGAAGATAGGAGAGTCAGGAAAAATGTAAATAGTGTTTTGGCCTGCTGTCTGCAATGTTCCTCTAGTTTTTTTTAAACCTAGATTTTTTGGGCAGATAATTGTTCAGTACTCTAAGTTAATTTTGAAGGGGATAAGGAAGATGTTTAGCATGAGAAATAAGGCCATATATGTATCATTAGATTTTTCCCAGAGTCTAGTCTCTTTTTTGGTTCTGGTTGGGAGGTAGAGGAGGCCATCACCTTTCTCTGGTTGAGATTTACAGTTTTATTTATTATCATTATTATTAACCCCATATGACTAGTTTAAAGAATATAAAGTATGATTTGATTTCCATCTTAGTTTTTGTTATGGAAACATTTGGAAACAAGAGAAATATATATTTATTTTAGCCTCTCTTTGTCTGTCCATCTTACAATCAATTTCAGTAACTTTAACAATAGATAGTAAAAATGATAGAGTATACAAAGCATTGCCCAAATGAATTCATCATGGACCTGTGTCTGAGAATGGGTTCTTAAATAGGGGAAGTGTGTTTTATACAAAAAGTCCATTTTCTGTTATTGCCTTTTTTATTTAGACTAGTGGATGCTATATATTTTAAGGCAATCTTAATAGTTTTCTGTCTTTCACTAACAAGAATGATTGTCATAATGAGCATTGTAGACACTGTCCATTTGATCCACTCCAGAAAGCTGTCTATTTGATACACAAGTAAATCACCTCAATTCCTTTGTGGAATGAGTGGAGTATAAATAAATAAATGAGACAATAATAAAAAAGAGTGGTCAGTTCTGTCAGAAGGCAACAAAGGATAGGGAAATTTGGAGGCCTGGTGTAATTAAAAAAAAGTGACAAGACAAAGAATTATATGTGATAACTGTAAAGAAGAAATGATTCTTGCTAATAAAAAATTTTCATGAAATAGTTCCTTCCTTCTTTAGCAAATGGATAATTTTGTAGTTTAAGAATAATAGTTCTTAATTCTTTGACATCAGAAAAACCTATATTGTAGTCACTATTCACTTTTAACTCTACCAAAAAAATTGTAATCTTGTTATTATTTTGCATGTTTTACCTCAATTCTACAGTTTTTGTCTTGTTTTGTGAGGTAAAGAATGGATATGTATATGTCCTGATTTTTCCTTTTACAATTAGTATTTGTTATTATTATCTCTTAGTGAATTACACAAAATATCATACTATTTAATTTTAATTTTTAATTATTTTTATTTATATATGATAGCAAAATGCATTACAATTCTTATTACACATATAGAGCACAATTTTTCATATCTCTGGTGTACTGTACAGTACAAAATATAACAACAAAATATATTTTGTTGTTGTTGTTGTTCTGGGGACTGAATCCAGGGCTTTGTGCATACTAAGCACATAGTCTGAGCTACACCCCAGCCCCTGAATGTTTTTGATAAAAATATTAACAGAGCCATTACTCCATGTTGGTGTAGGGTTCCAGCTAGCGATGAAAGATAAATTATGACAAATTTAGTGCTCTACAGGTGCTGGGAGGTAGTAGTGATTTTCAAAATGAAATCTCAGGATGTATGACATTCACCCGAAGGAATTGTTTAAAAGACTGAACCAGAATCTCTGGGAGCAAGACTTGAGAATCTACCACGTCACAGGTTCTGTGATTCTAATGCAAACTAAAGTGCAAGAACCATTGATCTAGAGAAGTTTGAAGGGTAGAGAAATAAACGATTGACAGTTCAGTTGGAACAATATTACATGTTCAAAGTACAATTGTAGCACCTATAAAAGATAGTCACTATCTTTACTAACGGAAATGTAGGTAAAGTTTAAGAACTGATATTCATGTGTCGTTTTCAAATAATGAGCAGAGAATGAGGGTGCAACTTGGGGCATTCCAGTGACTGTTTCCAAGAGAAATGCACAGTGGACACTCATAACATGCTTTGTCCTGGCAATTCCTATCTGGAGACTTTTTTTTATCAGCCTTTTTTTTTTTTTTTTTAACGTGATTAGCAAGGTATATTGGGGGAAACAGATGAAATCTTTAGAACAGGGAGAGCCAGTGTGCTCATTTCCCAGGACTGCCATAATAAAGCACAGCAATATGTATGACTTAAACCAGAATCTTAGTATCTCACAGGCCAGAATTCTGGAATCAGGGTGTCAGCAGGGTCATTCTCTCTCTGAAAGCTGTTGGAAGTGTCCTTCCTTGCCTCTTTCAGTTTCTGGTGTTTGCTGGCAATCTTCAGTGTTTCCAGGTGATGCCTGCATTGCCTCAGGATATTGCAGAGAGTCACCACCAGGAAGAAGGTCTTCAAGAGATGCAGCCCCAAACCTTCTCTCAGTGATTTTAAGGTGCAGAGGAGCTTGAATGTAATATCTACCTTTCTTCATTACACACATACTTTAAAGGAATAAGATGTGTCTCTTTGAGAAAATATGTAAAATTTACAGACAGAATACGCTTAAGTGTTCCTTGACAAAATGTTCAAATTAGAGCAAACTGTACAATTTTGTTATACTAATCACCACCAGCGTTTTTTAAAAAGGCTTTTAGATGAACAGTGGTACCTAATATCTACTTAGCCTTCTGGTTTCTCTGTTTTGTTTGTTTTTATTCTCTAATAGTGCCCAGAACTCCCCTTTCTTTCTTTGTAGTGGGGGAAATCGGTCACCCCAAGAATACGAATTAGGCAGAAATGAAATGTAAGAGCCAATCAGAATGCTCCCTGGAGCAGCTCCAGACTGGCTTCTCTAGGAGGACTGGCGGAAGATGGACATTGTTACCTTCATTCAATCAAACAAAGAAGGCCATAATAGTTTAGGGAGGTCGAAAACTCCTCGTGGATTAGCAGGCGACGCGTTAAACTTCAGCAGATCTAACTATCGGACAGAAGGCCCCTTCGTCCGAAAACTTCTGGGCATTGCGGGACACATTGTTTTTCGGGATTCTGGGGAAATGATTAGCGGTTGTTAAGGTACCAGTACCTAAAATGGCGACAAGCGGCTTCAGCGGTGGGAATCAGGTGACGCAGGCCCAGTCCGCTAGCTTCCCACTAACCGCTCCTCCTCCCGCTTCCCTACGTAGAGGTGGGCGTGGCTTGCCTGGAGGCTCTTTCTTCAGATGCTGATTAAATAGAAGTGTACACATGCGCAATTGGGTCCCCTGCCTCCTCCACGCCCACCGCCCGCCCCGTTTTCCGGGCGGGGCTGGGCCAAGAGTCCAGCTGCTGCTGGCTGGAGATTCAGTGACTTATTTGTTGTGACTCCCGGCCTGGCAGTGTCCGGACTCGTAGCCCCGCTGTCCGCACCGGGACCGCTAGCCCTAGCCCCGAGCCTAGGTCACAGCCACAACCCCATCCCGTCGGTTATCCTTTGAGTACAGGTCCTTTCCCCGCACACCTTGCGCTCCCTAACATGCCCAACCCCAGCAGCACCTCCTCTCCCTACCCCCTCCCTGAGGAAATTAGGAACCTGTTGGCAGGTAATGAGCGGGAAGGGGGCGGGTAACGCTGCCGGGGCGGGGGCGAGGGGACGGCGAGCCGATGGGGACAGAAGCTTTCAGAGTCCTTACCCTGCCTCCCCTTGTATCCTGTCCCCCTGCCTCCCTTTGTATCCTGTCCCCCCGCCCCGCGCCCGGCGCCCGGGTCTTCTGACTAGTGGGGGCGGGACAGGGAGGAGGTAAAAGAGGGGCGCTCGGGCTGAGAAAGGGAGTGGGCTTGTGTGTTGAAATTTGGTGCGAGGATGGTAGCCCTACTAGATGTTCTATACTAATGGGATCCGGACAATTCTGTGTGCATAATGAAGATGCCGTGTGTGGAGGGAGGGGAGAGGAAGAGGGAGAGAACATTAATGAATGCATGTGTGAGAACTGGAAAGACAGCAGAAGTCAAAGAAGTAGTTCTTGGGTGGCCTCGGCAGTGGGGATGGAGGGTGTAACAAAGAGATGTCAGAGCCACAGGGGTTAGGGGTGATGAGGTGGAAGGGGGTATCATTTCTAAAACTCCCACTTTTCTTGAACATTCCAGTCCACTCTGTATTTAAGACCTTTAAAGAGAGCCGGATTCTCAGATGGCCACTTGTCTTCAGCCACAGTAACTATTAACGCAAAAAAGGAAGGATGTGTTAAAAGTCCTGCTTCCTGTGTCACATGATGAAAGTGCTTTATCCTTGCACCCTCATCTTCCCCTTTTCAGTTTTACATTCCTATTTATGGGAACTGTTATTTAGGAGTTAAAAATGTGGTTCTTCAATGCCGTTACAACTCTACTATTCAGTAATGTTCTGAATGTGGAGCTGTGCGTTTTCTCTAAGGACCAATGAAAACTTTAGAGTACAAAATATATCTTTATAGGGCAGCGCAAATCTTGCGTGTTCTGATGTTCTGGAATTCTTAGTATCATTTACTTTGTCTCATGTATGTCTGAATTCTGGAAACGGAATTTATTATTTTACTTTAGTTGTCTCTATCTTTCAATATTGATCACAACTGTATTAAAACATTTTCTTTCAGATGCCTGTGTTATAAGTTACTTATTTTCACTCATAAAAGCATTGCCATAAAAAATGTGATATTTGAAGTAGTAAGTTGTTTGTATAGCAGTGCGTCAGCAAATGTTCTAATAATAATATACTGGTACACTATTTTGGGGGTTAGCATCAATAATGTGATTGAGAAAATAAAACTAAGTGCATGAATGAAGACTTATGTTTGTATGAACATGATAGTGTGAAGAATGCCTTTGTAGTGGGTCAGTGTTTCTTTCACTTTAAGAAATGATTGTCCTCATTAATGGGTAGCACTAAGGAAAATATTGAAAGAACTATAGAGGCAAAGCCAGCTTTTTTCCCACTATATGAGTTTCACATGAATACAAATCTTGTTTTACCACAGTTAACATTTTTGATATTCCAGTGCTGGCCTTGCTCATCTAGAAAATTTTAATAACCACAATAGAGAAATGTTTATCATTATGTCAGAAATAAATGTCATCATTTTCAGGTTATGTTTTTGAATTTAAGAAAAAAGGTGCAAACCTCTGCTTGCATGTTTTCAAAAGTTTGACAGCTCCCACAGCAAGCTATGTGCTATTTCAGGAAGTAGAATATATGGGTTATAAAACTATTTATTCTTTGATTCCCATAGGTCATAGTTTTTCATGTGGCTCTTACTTGTGTAAATTAAACTAAGAGCTCAGAATTACATATTTTAATTCTCTGCCAATGCTAACTTCCTATATATTTCTGCCATCTCTCTTAAGTCAGGTAGTATATTAGCATAATTTCTGAAATTACCTTTTCCCAAATCATTTTATTGACATTTTTATTATTCCATATGACTAAAGTACATCACATATTAAAATACATGAGTATTAAAAACAAATATTAAAATGTTAAAACTTTGGAGATTATAAATTTGGATCGTATTGTTTTTTCAAAGTATACTTTTAAGAGCTGTGGATATGAATTGGGGGATAGGCATATCTTTAACTAAATCAAAAAAGTGAAGCAGTTTTGTCAGGGTTTAGAACTTTTAAAAATGTATTCAAGGAAAGTTGTTAATATTCATGTTTAACTGTAATTAACTCATTATGTCCCATACATAGGACACCTGTAAAAACCTATAAAATTTTATAGGACACCTATGATATTGCTCAATGTATGTTTTCCTATGTGTCCTATGTATAGGACAATGGGACATAATAGGTTAAAATCTTTTCTGAGGTAGAAAAGGCTTTGAGAATAGATGCTCTCAGCAGTTATTTCGCACAGTTCATTCAAAAACATTTTGGGGATGCATGAGGATTTGCATCATTTAAGTGTATTGGTGATAGTGCATGATTAAATTTAAAATTCTAAAACTATAGAGGAGGTGTTTGTATTGATTTGAATTTTAGAGTTATTGCTGGCTTATCTAGTATATATATATATATATATATATATATATATATATATATATATTTTAATTGAGAAGGAGATATTGGTACTGGTGGTTGTGAACAGTCAAGTGTTCTGAGAATACATGGCATGGTGCTAGAATTCCAAGGTAGAGAAGATAAGAAGCTAAATCTTCTAGAAGTTTAAAACCCTTTGCTTTGAGGAAAAAGAACATAAAGTCAAAGATAATGGCTTTCAGAATAATATTTCCTAAGACATTTCCCTTTGTGCTCCATGTGCCCATTATCCAAATCATTATGTCATATATGCTAAGTATTTGACATTTAACTGCTTGATGGGGACAGGTTCTGAAGTGTATGTTATCATATTTGTTCTTTGTTTTTCTTTTTGATTATGGTAGTTTTAGGCTACTTTTTCAATACTTGTCCCCTGTTCCTTCCCCTTTTAAAAACATCATATAGAAATGTGAAGAATAGAGGTTATTAGTCTTAAATCACATTTAATGATACCCTTGGAAAGTGGCAATATAGAGTTATGTTTTCTATAATTAAGTATATTAAATCTTGAAGGCCTATACTTTTTTTAAAAGAAGTGTTGAATTATTCTTCTGGTTATATAAATAGAAAAGAGTTTTTAGAATTTTGAACCACTGTTTATACTACAGGCAACCTTTGATTTCCCCCTCTAATGATAGAACAACAGGTTTAACCAGGATAATTAAAATCAAAAGATAATCCCAAATCTTGTCAATTTAATCTTCCACATCCAAATATTTTGACTAGGACTAACAGCAAGAATAGCCTTGATTTATGTGAGTTTTTCCCTTCTGGCAGTCAAGAAAGTGAGAAGTACTGGAACCACTGCCCACTACCCCACTTCATTTGTCTAATCACCCTTTAAATATTGGTTTGTTAGTGATTTGTAGTCAGATATTCTAATTCATTCTCATTCACTCATTTTACAGCACCAACTTTTAAAAGGAAAGCTAACAGATGTTATCTTCTTTTTATTAAATTAGAAAATGAAGCAGATGTTAAAAGAAAATAGTTGTCAGTACACTAAAAAACCAAAACCAAACCAAACAATAAAGTGGCTATATGATTTCTGCAAAGTGACCTTGAGGTTTTGATCACATGGCAGTTTTATTAGAAATATCGTATTTTTCTCTATTGGAGATTTCCACTTTTTTGTTTGTTTTTTAAAACCTTCACACATTGTAATTGATAATCCCTTTAGGGCACTAGATAAAGAATACAATTCAGTTGAAACAGAGGCAGAATTTTTTTTTCAATGTTGAGTGTAGTATGGTTTGATTTCCACCCTTCCAAAGCCCTATTTATAATTCGGTCAACATTTTGGTTTTATTTTTCCTCTGAGAATTATTTATGGTGTATCTAGTGTACCATAACTTCCTTCTGGGGCATTGGCTGAGTATGTAAAGGGAAGAGTGCCACCTACTGAGTCACCAATAGTCACCTACTTCTTAGCACCTGGAATTTCCAACAGAGCAAGAACAAGCCTGCCCCGTTTTGGCAGCAGTAACTGATGAGCTTCGAGTTGATAAGAGAACATTTAATCTCAAAATAAAATCAATCTATGATAGTCTTAGATATTCTCTTCTAAAAATAGGAATATGAGCTTGTAAATCAAGGGACCAGAAGTTTATTGAGGTGTTTTGTTTTTTTTTTTTTTGACTGGGTCAAATAATATAGGTGAATTAAGATGTGGTGTTAAGGAAGATTATTTACGTATTTATCTTAAGCCTATAGTGTCCTACTTTTTCTTGGGAGGGGGTATTTTAGCATGTCCATTCAAAGTATTTTCATCCTACGTTACCAAGTAAGGCTCTTGATGTTATCCACAATTTTTATAGTCCTAATTAACATTGGTTTACTTTAAAAAGAGAAACCTAAATATACTAAAAAATGAGTAGTATATGAAAAATTTCCAAGTGGGGTTATCTCTAACGGATACCAGCATTAAAGTATTGCTAGAAAGAAGGAAGAAATAACAGAGTAAGAAAAGCCTCTGGTGATTTGAAACACAGTTCAGTTGTCTCTCATAAATTTAAGATTAAGTGTCATATATGGGTGATAAAAGTGGCATAGGCTAGGTTTTATATACTCATTATTCACTTAGTTTGTCTTTTTCAATTAAAGCCAAGTCTATCTTTTTCATTCCACTGAGTTTACATTTCTTTTTCAATCACATTCTGAACACATTACAATAGAGGCTGCCTAACAGTGAATATAGTGTAAATCTCAGACTAATGTGTTATTCACTGTGGCTTCTTTGAGAATGTGTGGTAAAAAGATTTTGATTATTGTAAAGTGCTATTTATCAGGAGTCATCTTTTAGAGGTTGAAAGATGGTCAGCCCTATGTTTCAACAGCCCAGCTTTCTATCACCATAAATCATTTAGCTTGTAAACCCAATTTTGAAAATTTTATAGGATGATTGGATTATAAGGCTCAGGTATGTTTTAGCCATTGCACTATGAAAACTGTGCTTGTTTATGTCTTCTTTTTCTATGTTTGGGAAGTCAACAGTTCAACCCTAACCTATAAAAGTGCTAGGTAATCAAGGACATTGAGTTGAACAATCAATAACTTTTCAATTAGCCATTTTCTGACTTTGGACATTTGGCTTCATTGATCTGAATGTACCCAGTTTAATTGATTTTTATATTTTCGCCAGTAGTTGTTTGGTCAGATCATTCCCTGCTTTAACAGAAAAGTGTCTTTTTGTTTTCAGCCTCAGTCTAGGCTACTATCCTTAGCACATTAAGTTTGGTGACAGCACAACTCAGTGAATACAAAGTGAAATCTGACCCAGTTCATAAAGTAGAGCAAGATGTGGAATTAAGTAGTAAAGCCATTTGGGGTGCTGTGGGATTGGTTTTTACGCTTATTTTATTGATCTTGGGCTGAGCAAATGGTGGTGGATTCAGCTGAGTTCCTGTCTCTTGCTCTTTACAATTCAGAGGTGTCTGTGTATCTGTGTGTAGGTACTGGGGACTAGGGAGAAAGTGTGTGTGTGTGTGTGTGTGTGTGTGTGTGTGACCCTTGTGGCTCTTTACAGACTCCAGCCTGCAGGTCTTATTGCAGGCTCTTTAGTAGTGGGGGATGGTGAGGACAAGTGGTCAAAGCTCCACTGTCTCCAAGAGTGGGAACCTGGGCTAGGTACTCAACTTGGAGAATCTGACATATAGTATTGTTGGCAAGAATTTTAAAACTCTTCTGATCTTGTGTGGTTCCACCTTTTCACTGTTTGATCTGTACAGAAGTTGGTAGAAAGCAGCCTGTGTGTGTTAGATACCTGTTGTTATCACTCAGGACCCTAGAGGAAGATCGGGTGGCAGTTTTTCTATGGGTCTTCTCTGTATTAAAGAAATAATTAAAAAAAAAAAAAAAAAAAAGCAAGCAAGCAAAGAAAAGTCGGAGTACCGGTCATTGAGTTGTGTGTTAAGTGTTTATCTCTTAAGGGTCTAAATGGCTATTGAGAGGTTTCTAACTTAAACTGTTTAAGATTGCTGAGCCAGAACAGGTCATCTTTTAATTTTTGTTTTCAGACCTTAACATCTATCTACAGAGCAGTTGTAAATCTGATCTCTTCAGCGGCCTTCTCCCCCAGATCCTTACCGCAGTTCCTGGAAATAAGGCTTACTCTTGACCATGTCAAGGTGTAAACAGCAGCAGAGATCACCCCCACGTTTACTTTTGCCAGAATAACTTTTTTAAATGATGTCTTGCGTGGGTGGAGGCTGATGGGGTAATTCGGGAGTAAAGTGCTGGCGGTGCAGACCGGCAGTTTCCGAGGCTGCGGGTGGGGAGCAGTTAGATCTGGTGTGCTGGAGACATCCCTTTCCAGCGCCCTCTCTGCAAGGGCCAGCGAGGCCCCCGCATGTGTCTTTCCTGCGGCGGGCGCCCACGGGAGTGAATGGAACCCCTTCCCTCTGAGAAAGGAATTCTAATTCAGGCCAAAGGGCGAGCGAGCAAGGCAGGCTGACCTTTTCTTGTAATCCAATTACAGTCTTTCCCCCCAAATTATAGGCAGTCAGGAGTCAGTGAAATTTACATATTAACCGAGGGACACGACCCCTAAAGGAAGGTAAAAGAAGGCTAAGGCACTTGCTAGTTTACCATGCTTGCTAGTTTACAGCAAGGCTATTTATAGCCCAGTAAAAAAGCTTCAAATCTCTTTTCCAACCAGCCAGAGGAGCGCTTGATTCACAGAAGACTTTTATTGCTCGCTTTTGAAATATTACCCTGGCTTTGAGCTACAAAGCCGCAGATCCAGCCCCATTTGTCTGGCGAGGGCGCTGCCCCAAACCGGTATCTCTCCCTGCTCACAGCTCGGTGGATAGGGAAACCTGTGTTTAACATTCCGCAGGGTTGAGGGTCGAGGGTGGAGTTTCTCGGTGGGCAAAGCTGGAGCATCTCCTAGGAAAGCCTAAGATTACTTCTTTTCTGTGCATGTTCTGTCTTTGCGCTTGGGGAGCCAAGTCGGTGCGTTGCACAGGCACCGGGCCGAAGGCTGTCCCGGTAACCAGGGAGCTTCCGGTGCTTAGGAGAGGCTGCTTTAGTTGGATCTGAAAATAAAAGGACAAAGTGTAGATGTGTAGATTTTAAGCCATGACTTAGATTTCAAAAGCTTAACAGACAGCCGAATCTGTTGACAACAATAGATTATAGCAAAAGCCGCTTCCAGTTAAAGTTCTTATTTATTAAAATAAACATCAAAGTAGTTCCTACTCTCTACATCTCCTTTGAGAAAATACTGATGAAGTCAATGTTTATTAAATCCTTTCAGTTGCCTTAAATCCTTTTCTGGGAAAAGCTTGAGGATAAATGTATTTAAAAGACTACTATAAAAGTATAGATCTTTTTCCTTACCCAATCTCTTAATCCCCTCCCCTAAAAAAATACTTATTTTTTCCTGCAATCTCACACTCTCAACAAATATTTTCAAGTAGAAGCATGGGTAGTATCTAAAAAATATTTATTGGAGGTTTTAAGAAAGTACTACATAGAGTATTACAGCCTTTTTTTAGTTTTCTGAGTTTTTATAGAACTGAAATATTAGATATTTTAACATGACCTTTTAAAGAAATAACTCTTGAGCTGCAATTCGTTGTGTTATTGCTTCCGGAGATAGAAAATAGATCCTGTTTGTTTAAACTTGGATTGTATAATGAAAATGTAAAATAGGCAATTAAATACTCGTGGAAGAGGGAATTAAAGACAAACATTGAGTGAAAATAACATTAAGCAGACTATTCACTAGTCATTGTGCCAGTGATTCTCTCAAGTATTGAGTCCACTTGGAAGGAACCATCAGCAGTAGGGATGCTACTTCTTTCCTTATTCCATTTTTTTTTTTTTAAAAGAAGAAATATTACTGTATGGATCTCAGGGAAGCCAATGATCTTTTCCATTTCAGCTAATGTCTGAATGTCCAAAGGTTGCTTGCTCCTCTGGGTGCAAGTTTCTCATAAATTTCATTATTTTGAACTCAGTTGAGAAGTCTGGGTCTAATTTGCACTGGTTTGGGATAATATATGTCCTCTCTTCAAAATGGGCAGCTCCAGGAAAGAGAAGCTGGGACATTTTGCTTCCATTTCATTTTATACTTACTTTTAACATATTAGTTGTTAATGGACTTCAAACCATAAGCTGTTTTTAAAAATTACTGCAAGATCAAATTTTAATTCGTTCACTTTTCATTTTGACTTAATGAAAAAATACCTCTACACATTTGTAATGAATGTATCATAATTTAATCATTTTTCCTTACTGGATCAAAATATTGCTGTGATCAAGATTTAAAATTGATTACAAACATTATATCCTATATATTAGTTTTAAATAGTTACTTATAAGTGTAGTTGAGGGATTCTTTATTATACTACTTTGCATTACTTATATACAATACTACGTTTTGATGCCATCTTTTTATCAGTGTGAGTTTGGATACAATGTAGTTAAATAAAAGGAAGTAAAACATACATATATATATCTCTTCAGTATGAAATATGGATGAATTATAGCCATGCCTATTTAAAAAATTTAACGGTATCTTCTATATTAGATATTTTAACATGAACTTTGAAACTCTGAAAGTAAATTAATCTAAGGTATATGGTATTTCATAAACAATGAGATTGGAACTATCATAAAAATCAGTTGAGCAACGACTTCTTGAAATTTTACATGAGAGAACCAGACAAGAAAATAATTGAGGAGTTTACTAACATTTTTAAAAAGATGCTTATGAGGCAATGTTACATAAGGTCATAGAAATCTTATTTCTTGGATACTATATTTTTAAATAGCAGAAGAATCTATTTTTCTGCTTCTTCCTTTATGTAAGAAACATACAGGTGGAAATACCATGGCAGGAAGCAGGAGCTCACAGAACTACTCAGCTGTTTTTCTTTTTTATTTGAGTGGCTAGAGTGGGTGGGGCCAGTAGTAAGGAACAGGGTGTGATTTGGGAATCTTGTCTAGAAAAAAGGAATTTATTTTTTCTTTCAAAGCATTAAATGTTATGTATTCCTGAAAGTGGATTATAGAAAGGATCTGAGAAAAACAGACCCTTGCCAGAGACATTAACTTATATTGATATACTATTGTGAATGTCTTGTTCATATAGGAACTCAAAGAATACGATAAAATGATAGTAACACATGCATAAAAGCTTGGTGCTTGCTTTTGTATGAGAGTTTGTTTTATGGGCACCATAGTTTATTAAAACTCGTGTGCTTCTTCATGGTTTAATGGTGCCAAACATTCAAATAGCATTTGCTTTGCTAAGCGTAAGTACAGCATACAAATTTTATTAGCTAAGTGGTGAGCAGATTTGTCCATCTTAGTATGTGAAACACACTTCAACGGTTATACTCTGGATTGATAAATAGCTATACCGAATTGTACAGATATTAATGCTTATATGTAAAAACAACCATTGTTGTATTTGTTTTCACAAAAAATGATTCTTTGCCATAATTTGTATCCTGTTTCTTATATTTCATGATTTACATGTTGAAACATTTGTAGCAGACACATTGAGAGGGGAAAATTTATCCAAGAAAGCAAAGGAAAAGAGAGAATCCCTTATTAAGAAGATAAAAGATGTAAAGTATACGTAAGTCACCTGCCTTTAATTACTGATTTCTTGCTTAGAAACAATTTTGTAATTAGAAATTGATTTTAATAAGGAATTGATTATCATGGAGTGAAATTTTAATGTTTATTTATTGGTGTTAAGTATTTTTTAAAAGACAAAAATATATTCCACAAATATGCTTATTATATACCCCTTTCTTGGGAGGTGCTTGACTGTGTATTTTTGTAAGCATTCTAGCAAAAATTAACTGTTTATTTTGATTATCTGAGGGTATATTTGATTTAAATGATAAGACATGGGTAAATTAATGATTTTAATATAAATATGGAAAATACCTTAAGACACTGAAAAGAGAATTCTTTTGTTACTACATTAAATGAATAAACATATGTTATAGGTATTAAAGATGTATCCTCATTTTATTACTGTACTCAGATCTTTAAAAATAATTTCACTATATATTCCTAAGCATTTTGGAATTGCCATTTCAGCACAGGAAATAATTTTCCCCTCTATATATATAACATAGATTTTAGATTTGAATGTGCCACTGATTAGACCTTGCTCTGATTTGCCAACCTCATTTTAAAATATAATGTTCTTTATTTTGCAGCTATCTTCACGAATTTCAAGACAAAGGTAAATTTCAAACTTGAACATTTTTTTTCCTCTGTGGAGATTTTCAATAGAATAGTCTAACATCCTGAAATTTGATAGTTGAAATCAAAATTTAAATTTCCATGTTATATATTTAGACCTTCAAGATGAGAGTGCTAGCTCCCCCTGCTGAGAAAAAAAATAAAAAGCATATCCAGAATCCATTGCATTCCTCAAATGGAGAAATCTTATGCATTTAACATTCTTAGGTTTCATGTTTCTTCGGAGTTCACTGTGGCAGAGATTTGTTAGGACAGGTATATACTTGCAGTTACACATGGAAGAATTCAGTGAGCAGCGGTGAGATATGAACTTGATGCTATCTAATATTGCAGAGGTTATTTTATAGAATGGCAGGAGCAGAAGGGCCTGTGGCTGGGTGTTCACAGGTCATGTTTTTGAAGGGTACTTTAAAAACATGCAGGTGGCTGCATGCCTGAAGGCCTGGGGTCCCAAGAGAGGTGCTCTGATCTGGATAAATGAAGTCTTAGTGTTGAGCAGGTGGTGCAGGAGGGGCAAAAACTCCAAGGGCATCTTTGTTCCATTTCTGAGACCATGAGATTTGGGGATCATAGGGCCTGATACTTGAAGGTTTCTCAAAATCTCTTTTGTCAACTAGACAGAGGCCTTCTACCAGCTGGGAGCATATTGTTAACAAATGTTGTTAAAAACTATTTATTACTTAAAATATTTTTAGGATGTGACTTTATAAATAAATAAACCTACCATTTATGGGGAAAAAAACCTCAAAAATAAAAACTGTAAATTTTTGTTTGATAACGTGAGTAAAATCTTTCTCAAAAGCTAGTTTTTTTCCCTTGTTCTTTTGATTTGAATGAATCTGTTGTTTCTTAGAGATTTGTAGAGATGGGGATTCAGTTTTCTGTTTTTGAAATATGTGAAAGTGCTGGTCTTCCTTTAGATTTGAGAGGCAGCTGTTTAACATGCTGAAGGCTAGATCAGGAAAGCCATAGGAAGTTCCTACTACTTCATGTTTTCAGTTCTGTAAGGGGAACTCAGTATGGCCCTTATTTCCCTGATGCTAATTCATAGGTCATGACCTCCAGCTTGTGGATGCTGGCATGAGGGTCACAGTATGAGGTCACTTGACCAGGACTGAGCTAGGTTCTGGGTTTGGGGAATAAACAGTGTAATGTCTTCTAACTGGAGTTAGCAGGACCCACAGAATAATTAATATTTGTGCCGACTGATAAGTGAGAGGATATTGACAGTTCTAATAAACCAAGTACTACCAGACAAACCTACCAGACACACCTAAAATCAATTAAAAGGAAGTCACAGTTTCTTTTCACATTAAATCATCAAGATCTGTATGATTTAAGGGAATAAGAAGTTTTTCCCCCCTGTATTGAGATTTTACAAAAAAACAAAACACTATTAAAGAGTAGAGCAGGAAACTCTTTCTGTCCCCCAATACCCAATTTTTTTGGTGTGTTTCACAATGAATTCTAAACTATGGACTTAATCCTGTTGTATTTTTTGCTTTGTCAAATATAGAAATGAATTTATGTATTTTAATTACGATAGCTTTTATACAGTGTACTATTATGGAGGAATATTAAATATTTGATTCTGCCTCTCTTCTTAAAAGGCATATTTTGTTCTGGTGATTATTTATTGAACTCTTCATTGTGGCTTAATTATTTGTATATTAAAAAAATTTAAGCTAAGAAAGCATGATAATGTGAAGTCATTCTATAATTGCATATGGTTCAGTAATAGTGTAGGAACTTTCCCTTTGGAATTCTGTTTTAGAACTTGTTCAGGTGTGTGGATATTAAAATTACATTACGGAGATGCATTATTTGTCTCCAAAGAAAATGGAAGTTTATATTTCTATTTGATAGAAATTGAAAAATGAGTTGAGAATAAGAGTTCAAATAGTGTGGAATTCAGAGATTCGCCATAATCATTTTCCTCCGAATAACTAATTTGTAGTTCAATACTGCTATATTGAGTTAACTAATCACCAGCAGTGTCTGCTCAAAAGTAAGCTTGTGGCTAAATTGGAGGTATACCTTGGAGGAATATGAGAAGCTGAGTAATTTTATGCCATTTTACCCTACAAATATATTCAACTTGATTCTACAAAGACTATTTTATAGTTTATAGGAATAGTAAAGGGTGCAGACTTAATAATTGCCAAGCAATTATTCAAGACACTTTTCTTTTTAACAGTAGGAATTTATTATAAGATACCTACGTTGAGAATATTCAATCCTAAGTATGTTTTGGTGATGCTGTTCCCCTCTTACATTTTCCCCTATGGGTTTCAGATTATCTTCATCCAGGGAGAACTGCGAAGAATTCCTTTTGGCTGGTTTCCTGTTTCTTTCTCTCATAACAAAATAGGGTCACAATGAATTAAACTAAAGTTGTTTTCCTCTGTTTCATATTCTTGATTTTTAAAATGATAGTTAAATACCATTTTAATACCATTATTGGGAGAAAAAAGAAGCAGATATCTTAAATAAAATAAATAATTCAGATTTATTCATTTCAAAAAGTTTTTAATCTCTCTAATGTACAGATATCTATCTGTTGACCTTCCTTCCCATCCTAATTCCTCCTTACACTCCAGCTACAATTTCCCATTCTGAGATTAAATAATACAGAATGTCTACTTTGAAGTAGTTCAATTCTTAAATTAATTGAATTAATATGATATAGTAAACTGCATAAATATTAGAAGGTTGTTTTTCATTTCTAGTTTTTTTTGTGTGTGAGAATAGTTTGTATTGTTAGAAACGTGTTTTATTACAGTGGCTCCTAGATAATAAAGCTCCACTAAGCTAATTTTTAAATTGTTATTTATATTTATTTCCATAGAAAACTATTTTTAAAAATTTCCCTTTTCATTTCTTTAATTTATGAAAGTTCTCCTTTTGTCTCCTTAAATGCTCCAGTCTAGATTTCCCCATAAAGAGATCTGACAAATTGGACATTAGAATACTTTTCAGTTGATTTTCTGAATTCTTTAATTGTACTTGCATTTAAAAATAATTTGAATCCAGTTGGCTAAAACACATTTTGCTTGACCTAGTCCCTGTTATTCATTTGAAATATTGCTCATTTTATCTAGAGAGTGCCTTCTTACCTCAAAGTATTGTGTAAGACAGAATAACCATTTAACCCTAGTTTCCTAGTTGCAATATAGCCCAACTCTCTAAAGAATATATTATCTTCCATGTACTGGAATTATGCTATGTGATTATTTTTTAATTATTTTGTCACATAACAAGATCATAGGTCTCTTAAGTGTGACTCAAAATAATTATTTTTGTAATGAGAATAGATTATTATTTGAGTAAAGACTATTTATTGACTGAACTTTAACTAGAATTTTCTAGTATATATTAGATACATGATAAAAAATGTTTACTTACACTGTAGTTGTAGCTTGACCTTTTATTAGTCTCATTTTACTCAAGTGATGATTTGGATGTGATTACTTTCCTTATAGACTGATTTATAGAAACAAGACAATGTGAAAATACCTGTTCATGTCACATAGTAGTGTTCAGTAAATAATATATTAATGCATGTTAACTAATTCAACTTAATTTGTCAAGAAGATTTAAGTTAATCTTGACTCATAAGTTCAGTTTTCAAATAATTTTTAGGAAATTATCATTAATTTTTAAAAGAAGGGCAGACATATTAAATGATAATTACTTCAAGAGAATGGTTTCAAATTTGTAAAATATTAATGCCAAAGTTTTTTTTGTTGTGTTTTTTTTTTCAGTTCTGGTGATTGAACCTAGGACCTCATATATGCTAGGAAAAGAATCTACTACTCTTCCATACTGTATCTCTAGTATCTACATTTTTAAAAATGTGAATTTATTGTTTCAGGTGCAATAGCTAAAAGAATTCCATTTTCTACTTTAAAAGATCTTGTCCCTCTTAATTGCAAAAATTTATTTAATAGATTATGCCCCTAAGACTTCATTGATATTGTTAAATATGCATAGATTTACTTAGAAAGCAATTTCCTTTGACCTTATCATTTGTACTATTTCTTAAGTTTATCAATTGGCTTAATAACTTGCTAAAAATAGCAGTACTGTTAGGTAAGAAGGGAACTATTTTAGTTTGTTCTAATGGAATCCTTAAGAGTAGCAGAAAAGTCAGAAGTTTGGATGATGTTTAATTTGCTTTCCTTTACTATTCCTAACGTAGTACATTTTCTGTTGAAAGCTGGCTCCACAATGAAATTTGAGCAGAAAACTTACAGCTTTTTTCTTCCACCACACACCCCCACCCTTGCCCTTGTACAAACGTAGTCAGCATGTTTGAGATTCTGGGACCTGTAGTGGTAGGAGTCTATTTCTGAGGCAGTGCTTGAGAAATGGTGTGTTTATTTTAAAGCTCTGCCTCAGTTTGGTGTAAGAAATTGTGTTTACTATTTGCATGCTATGAATTAGCTTTCCTATTGTGGAAGAATTATGAGGAGGATCTTCTTATTTTTCAGTAACCTATAATATCCTTTAAAGAATTTAACTTCCCTTAGGAAATTGCAAGTTAAATGCTTAATTCTAAAATTAGATCAGACAAGTAAACCAAGTAGAGAATTAGAAGCTAATTTGTTTTCATATAGACTAATCCCCCCGCCAAGTTTGTCTTTCATGCTCTGTATGAAGGAATAGTTACCACCTAAATTGTTTTATTAATTTATTATTTTTTCTTTTAAATGAACATTTAACAATTATATATGGCTGTAGGGTACAGTGTAATATTTTGGTGTGTGTATATAAAATGTATACTAAATTTTAGGGATTTAATGTTTTTAGCTATTTAATGTTTATCTGATTGTGTTTAAAATAGCACTGTATTTGAAAACAAGCAGTAAATTGGGGTGACTCACCGTCAGTGGTGGTAGAGATCAGTGGAAGCAGAGTTGAGTCACTGTTGGGCTGCCTCTCTGGTCCTTTAGGGAAATGTTAATTGATGATGAGCCATAGTGATTTGAACCCAACTATTATGAATTTAAAAATAGATATCAGATAAATATGCTGCTGTGGTATGATTAAATGTCGATTCTGTTATGATATTTAAGGTGCCACTGAAATTAAAGGACAGGAAGCCTTGGATTATTGTCTTTTAGGCTGTTAACTTTGTATGGTTAATTAAACTTTTGAAAGTTGTGGGATAAATCAAATGCTTTTCTAGGGAAACAAGAAACAGTATTAATGAGCAACAACCCCATAATTATCCTTGTGAGTACATAACAGGGACACATTCATGTCTTTTCTTTGCGCAATAACTTTTACAAAGAAGTATTTTTAAACTGATCATTAATTTTATGACCACAGAAATGAGATGCAAAATTTATGCTGTTTTCATTGGCACAGGCTCAAGGCACCACTGACATTATGTGCGATTGTAATAGAATGGCTGCCAACTAATGATTCTGTAGACATTTCATTTGAGCACGCTTTTCTTTTCGATGTCTGATTAGTCTGTAATGCTTTCAATTATGTCTGTAAATTGTATTGGATACGTTTACCTGATGCCTGTTGTTGATTTGGAGTTCAGTTTTTTATTACATAAACACAAGTTGAACATTTTCCCTTTAATTTATAGAAGTCTTTGCAGGTAAGGCTTCAGATACTTAGCCCCTGGGGAGGAAAAATGCTTTGTACTACTCAACAGCGACCCCTGTGTTCAGTTAAAGCTCCTTATAAGAGAGCAATTCTTACTTTATTGGGTTGAAAAACAAGATTAAGGGAGGGGGAAAAGGGATGGGGCATCCGTCACTGAGCCAACAGTAAGATGAAGAAGGTCATGATGAAAAGTGATAATATGTTTCTCTTAATGCAGTTGTTTAAAAAGGGACTTCTCTGTACCAATGCTATGGAGATACTTTACTGAGTGAATTCAAAGGAAGTTGGGGGTGAGGATGGGGAGGGAAGAGATCAGGCCAATAGCAGTAGTTAATTTATTTTGTCTTAGATAAATGTCACACTGATTTTTTTTTTAGAAAAATCATACTTTCAATTAACTGCATTTCTTAGAATGAGTAAATTGGAGACAATTTTATAATCGAAAGGTTAAAAAAACAAAAATCACAGAAGTCTTCAACATGTCAGTGACCAATTTATGTAGAATATTCTTTTATTAAATATTGAGTTTATAGCTTAATAACAATTTTGTTATATGTGTAATAGAGAATGTGTATATCAAATGTAGATAGTATGTTCATCTGTGTGTATGAGTGTATAGTACACTTTACACATGTGTACACATAAAAACTTACAATGGATATTATCAAAGGACAATAAACTACTTCTGATTTTCAAAGATTTTAAATTATCCACTCATTTCCACATAGAGTTTAAGAGATTTAAACCTGAGAATATGAATTTTTAAAAAATACTTTTCATATATTCTTTGGTTTTGTTGTTTCCTTTGTAGTCATAACAACATAGTATGCTAAGTGCTAAGTTCGATGATGTATTTGAAGTATCCTGATACCTGCATTTTTAAAAAATTTCAGCAAGTTTTATTGTTTTAGTGTGTGTGATACAAAACATCCTCAGAAAATACATATCATACAAGTTCTTTCTTAAGAATATAAGGATATCCTAGCAGCTAAAAGTAACCTGAGAATTTTGTGACCCTCTGCTACTGCATATCCCAAGTACTATCATAACTTGTTCAAAATATTTTGGGTGGCACTTTCTCAAGTTCTTTCTTACCTTATATTTGAAATCTGAGCACTTTTGCTTTCATAAAAGAAATATTATAAGGGATCACTGAGTGTTCTGAAAAGTACTTGGAACATGTCAAAAGAAAGATAAGTTAAAATCTGAAGAATGAGAAGTATTTATGTGTATTCCTTGGAATTTCAATCAGGGAAGAAACATCATCATATTTTTTATACCTAGAGGTGAAATCCTAAGAATGACGAGAAAGCCATCCCTGTATTCTGCTCTTGTTGTTTTCATGTCTTGAAAGAGGTTCTTTGCTCTATCAAAATTTTTCTCTGCTGGAAAGTAGGGAGACACCCACCCAGCAAATAGGTATCAGGGCATACAGACATCCTTTTGGAGAGACGAGTAGCTTTAATCTGGATCTGCCCAGAAACTGTGGCTCAAATTTAATAGTGTAGAACCTTAGGCTTCCTGCCAGGATTTTCACTACTTTTTGAGTCACCCCTGTGGTGGCTGGTTTTCTCTTGAATCTGTAACAGGTAATTCGAATTGTTAATAGTTAGATGCTTGATAATAATATTAAGCATATGTTTTTCTTTAATGTTGAATCTATTAAAAAAAAGAGTGCTTGTATATTACTGGGCTAGCAAGTTGCTGATTCAGTGTTTTATTAAAAAATTATTTCAACTAAGTATATGGAAAAAGCCCAAACCACAGATCTTACCATGGGGGATTGAGTAAAACAAACAGGCAGACAAACCCCAAACAAACCAACCTAGGATTTGGAAATCAAGTATAAAACTGGCCAGAACATTTTTGAAAAAGACAATATACCACTGAATGAAAACTGAAAGTGTTTACAAATCATCTTGTTTGTATTTTGAAAGGATTATGTGAGTTTTAAATCAGTTTTCCCATTAAGGATTCCTACTCTCAAAAACACAACTATTTTTAATCGACCCTAATGTTATCCTGTGATTTTAATGCAAATAAAAAGTGTTCATATGGCTTCACATTACCAATTTCTCATCATCATTTTTCAAAATTACTGAGTAGGTAAATGGAATTACTTGAATTATTTTCTTTGTTGTACTTTCCATCTTTTGGGGGTATTGTTATTTTGATTGTTTGTTTTAGGTACACAATCTGTTTTATCTTGCTTCTACTTTTTGAATTCCTTATAGAGACCATCATAATTTAGGGACTGTGAATACAGTCCTTATTTTGTGTCACAAATAAGCCCTTGTCTATTGATTTTGAAAAAAACTCTTGCCACATTTACATAACAATGAATACAAACTAAAATAGAATCTGTTTTTACCTCATTCAAAAAGTTTTGTTTGTTTTCCCATAACATTGACTGAGCTTAATAGTAAAACTTGCCTTTTCTGACAAGACTACATTATTTCAGATGACTAAATCATAGAAGTCATTTCTCTGATTCTTTTACAGGTGATGCAGAAGAGGGGGAAGAATATGATGACCCTTTTGCTGGGCCTCCAGACTCTATTTCCCTAGCCTGAGAACGATATGACAAAGATGACGAAGCCCCCTCTGATGGTATGTGACATTTTTCCATAAGAATTTACTTTTTGACACTTTGACACAAAGCAGTGCTTTTTGTGGAGGTAGTGGTCTTATCACAAAGCTGAAGGCTGAGTCTTCCATGAACTCACCTTTACCAGAACCTTTTAAGGAACGAAGAGCTCTCTCTAGTGGTCCTAGTTGAGGTTTCCCTAAAACTGTAGTTGCTTCTTTTTCTAGGAAATTTTCTTTAATAGAATTTTAGGAGAGTGTTTGCATCACCATGTGAATATTATTAGTAACAGTTTGTTGGTTAGTTTAATGTTATCAGATTCTTGCTTAATTTTATTATGCTTGTTAATGGCTTGTTGTATTATTTATTTTATAAATAATGAAAAAGGTTTTGATCTATTTTTTCTAAAAACTTTATACAAAATGAGTTCATGAAATATTAAATTAATTATTCTTACGTTGCCTTTTCACATTGAGACAGTTTTTATCAGATGCTTCTTTTAATACACATTTTCATTTTTCTGATTGTCATTTAAAATGCCTTATATTATGCAGTAATATTATAACATTTTGTATTAATTGAACTAGTAATAAAGTTGATTGTTTATCTCTTAGTAATTTCTAAAACATTATTGAATGTTGCCAAAGTTATGGAACTTGTTTTAGTACAGCATGTGCTTTCTCTGTTATAGCCAATTGAGTGCAACTGCATGATAGAAACCTTATAAGGGTGATATATATAGTTATAAATTAAGAATGTGTATTGATAAATTAGCTATGCATATTAATTTGTGGCACTCAAAGTTTCACATAGACATAGAAATGAATAATGTCTTCTGCCACTATATGATGATCAAACTGTGCAGTTCCATCTCTAAATACAATTGCTGAATGAAAATATGCTTCCTGCAACAGAGCACTCCACATTTTATGTTATCCAGATTATTCCCTTTGGAAACATAAATTGCTTTTATGAGGTATAAAATTATGTCTATTGCAGAACAGGGATAAGTCAAGTACATGCATAAGTGATAAACATTCTAACCACTGATTCAGAACAAAACAATCTTTTTTTATATACAGAACTTTGTACAATGTGTAGCAATAATAATCATATCCATTTTATGTTGAATTTTACATTTAATTTCTATTTTTAAAGTAAGGGAATTTTTCTCTTATATTTTCTTTTTATCTTTTACAAAGATGCACACTTTTCTTCATTCATACTTATCTCTAAAACAGAGCATTATCTTTTCTACCCTTATCTTCTAAAGCGGTTCTGTTAGAAAATGTTTTCTAATTGATGAAATAATATTTTCTGGCCAAACAGTGAATTATCATGTATGTTGTACTGTTTTTTAGATGCACTACAATTATTTGTTTTTCTTCTCTGTAAAATGTTCATAGACATGAATGAGTATGTATTTGTATATATACATATGTAGAGACAGAGTATTTATACCTCAAGGGATAAACACACACATGCACACAGAATGTTCTCATAGAATAAATATGCTTAGAGTTTCTCAAAATAGCATAACTATTTTGATGTACACAGGAGCATTATTTGCATTCTTTAAAAATTGCAAGTTAATAAAGACCCAGCAATTAAATATCTACAAAAGATGGATATCTTGTAGTGAGTTTTACACACAGAGTGATTTGTTATTAAATTATGTTGTCTTTATATGATTGTCATGTTTTCTTAAGAATAAACAATTTATCATGTTTTCATAAACATATATTCAGGAAATATGTTAATATAAAAATATTTGCTGTTAAAAGATTATCAATATTTGAATATTATTGATGACATATTTCTGTGTAACACCAGCTTTTTTGTTAAATTCTAGTTCATATTATTAATGTTTAGGAAATTCTTAAGCAAGTTGGAAATTTAACTTTTAGTATTATTTATTTTTGTATGTAAATAATAAGATTTTTAATGGTTTCACATTTTCTTCCAAGAATGTTGTTATAGGTTAATTTTCAACTTGTACTTTTAATTTTTACTCTTAAAACATCTCATCATCTCAGTTTTTCTCCTTGCAATTTAGATTTTGTCTATGTTCTCTTCCCTTTGCTGAATAAATTTTCCTTTATTATATGACCTCAGTCTAATAATGTATTAATTATAAAAAAGATAATGTATTTGACATTAAGTATAACCAATTTAGCACAGGGTCACCAAAAGGCCTTTTGTCAAATCAGATTGTTGTTTTGTCCTTTTGACTTTTACCTTATGGTAGGCACTAACAAAGTATCTGAACTTTGATGGATTATAAACTCTAAACATGATATGTATTTTTCATAATGCTAATGTAATTTTCAAGGTACTGAAAAGGTCAAACCTGCACATCTCTATGTGCATTCTAAGTCTGTCTTTCCCTTTAATATTTCTTTTTCTCTGTTCCTCTGGTTCAAAAGTTCACTCAGTTCCCAAATGGCCACCTAATTTTCCAGTTATTCCCTCAAGCCATATGTGTTTTGGTTTCTTTATGGTTTATTAGGTACTGTAGGAAAGTAGCATAAGTTATATCTTCTAATGAAATTCAAGCACACTTCAGTGATGCTTCGACTTGATTGCTGGTAGCAATTAAATCACAGCCAAGGAGAATAATGCATAATCTCACAAGGTCCAGACACCCTATAGAAAATGAATAGAGATGAAACAGAAAACAAAAACAAAATCTCCAAACCCTGCCAGACAGGCTGTTTCCAGTCTGCCCTTTTTTTCTTTCTTTCTTTTTTTTTTTTTATTGGCCAGCTGCCTGATTGATAGCAAAATCATAACTTGCTGCATGCTAACAGGCAGAGTTCACTTGTAGGTTATTGTGAGCTGATAAAGGGTTAGATGGAGTTTTGATTTTCGCATTGGACCTTGGTACATCAGATTAATGGAATTTCAATGAGAGACTAAGAGTAGCCACAGCTTTGTCAGAGAAACAGATGGAGATTCTATAGTCCTGTCCACTCATTAATACTAGTTACCTGAAAGGTGTGCTGCTTCTCTATACAAAAGAGTTGATATAATTGATTTTTGAGTGGTACATCGAAAAAAAGTACCTTATTGATGACTAGAATTGTAACATAAATAGTGACAGATTTTTGTGTGGCTTGTAACATAAAAATATTGCACTTTGTAATTTTTTTCTTCTTTCTCTTTGGAGACAATTTTTTTTTTTTTGAAGAGAAATACATTCTAAGAACAATTGCAAAAATAAAAAAAGAGACTACCATGCTTAAATTACCTTTTAGGAAAAAGAGCAAGACTTTACATTTTATTTCTAAATGATTATATGACTTCTATCAGAGCTTCATTTTGATATGATAATATTTTAAAAAAGCATACTTATTAAAAGTTTTATTTTATTAGCTTTATTCTTTTCTGGAATATTAAAAAATGAATCATAATGGTTTCTAGGCTATTGTAGATACTGTGGAAGTTTCATGTTCATCGTTTGGAGATATATTGGAGTGTTAATATTGTTAGAGATAATGAGACTTGAAACCTTAAAGAAGAATATATTGTACATGTTACAACATTTGGGCATCAAGTGGTAGATGCAAGGTAGCCTTTAGACACTATATAATGACTTAAGTTTTCATTTTTCTGTTCTGAAATCATTTTTCATTTATTTTTGTCATTTGTGAAAGAAAGCTTCTAACCATATAGTATTGTGGAGAGTCCCTGAGGTAGGTGAAAGGATTCAGTGAGCTAGAAGACATATATTGGCTCTGCTCGTCAATGATAGGTCGAAGGATCCCAGTGGACATTTGTTACAAATCTGATTCAGTCCTAGACCATAATCACTTTGTGGATAAGAATCTGGAACCTCTAGGGTGTGAATGTAGGAAGGCTAAAATGAAACTGAAGATATAGAAGAATCATTTATTGTCGTGGTATCTTTCTAACTGAAAATTTCCAAATGAAATAAAGCTCTGGGCATTGGTAAAGGTGTAGGTTTATATGAAACAATGTTTGTTTAAGGATGGAACTGTTTTTTTTAAAGCTTGGGATTAAGAAAAGATTAAGGGTGGCTGAGCTGTGAGTGCGCGCCCGCAGTCGGGGCCACGACTGGCTCCCGCTCGAGCCCGCTGGGCGCCCGGGGGCGCGCACGTCCCTCGCCGCCCGCCCTCCTTCGCTCGCGCTCCCCGCCCACAGCCAGCCGCCCTCCGTCGGTTCTTTCGTTAGTCCCCGGTCGTCTCTGGAGCTACCCGTCCTCGTCTCAGAGCTTGCGACTCACGGACAGGCGTTCTCGGCGCAAAGAGGCCAGACTCGGAGTCGTCGTCTGAGCTTTTCATCTGGGAAGTTCAAGGTACTTTATACAACTTTGGTCACAGGCCGTGCATTTTGCAGCACATTTGTAAGCTATGGCTGCCATCAGGAAGAAATTGGTGATTGTTGGTGATGGAGCATGTGGCAAGACATGCTTGCTCATAGTTTTCAGCAAGGACCAGTTCCCAGAAGTGTATGTGCCCACAGTGTTTGAGAACTATGTGGCAGATATTGAAGTGGATGGAAAGCAGGTAGAGTTGGCTTTGTGGGACACGGCTGGGCAGGAAGATTATGATCGCCTGAGGCCCCTCTCCTACCCAGACACTGATGTTATACTGATGTGTTTCTCCATTGACAGCCCTGATAGTTTAGAAAACATCCCAGAAAAATGGACTCCAGAAGTCAAGCATTTCTGCCCCAATGTACCCATCATCCTGGTTGGGAATAAGAAGGATCTTCGGAATGATGAGCACACAAGGCGGGAGTTAGCCAAGATGAAGCAGGAGCCAGTAAAACCTGAAGAAGGCAGAGATATGGCAAACAGGATTGGCGCCTTTGGGTACATGGAGTGTTCAGCAAAGACCAAAGATGGAGTGAGGGAGGTATTTGAAATGGCCACGAGAGCTGCTCTGCAAGCCAGACGTGGGAAGAAAAAATCTGGGTGCCTTGTGTTGTGAAACCTTGCTGCAAGCACAGCCCTTATGCGGTTAATTTTGAAGTGCTGTTTATTAATCTTAGTATATGATTACTGGCCTTTTTCATTTATCTATAATTTACCTAAGATTACAAATCAGAAGTCATCTTGCTACCAGTATTTAGAAGCCAAACCATGATTAATAATGATGTCCAACCTGTCTGACCTGCCAGAGTTCTTCTGACACTGCTCTAACAGCCCTCTCTGCACTCCACCTGACACACCAGGCGCTAATTCAAAGAATTTCTTAACTTCTTGCTTCTTTCTAGAAAGAGAAACGGTAACTTTTGTGAATTAGGCTGTAACTACTTTATAACTAACATGTCCTGCCTATCATCTGTCAGCTGCAAGGAAATCTGGTGAGTCATCACTTTGGAGCTTTACTCCTCAGCCAATTTCATTGGCATAGCTCTGGGGTGGGCATTTAGTTGTTTGAAAGTGTACTCAGCCAGAAAGGCCCAAGTCCATGCAGCTGTGGCAGAGTTACAGTTCTGTTACTCTGTTAGTTACCTTATAGTTACTGTGTAATTAGTGCCACTTAATGTATGTTACCAAAAATAAATATATCTATCCCAGATTAGATGTAGTATTTTTTGTATAATTGGATTTCCTAATACTGATATTTGTCATCCCACAGAAAAGTGTATTGGTTTTTTAAAAAAGAAAGTGTATTTGGAAATAAAGTCAGATGGAAAATTCAAAAAAAAAAAAAAAAAAAGAAAAGAAAAGATTAAGATATTTTGATCATAATTTATAATAGTACTAATATCTTTTCCTTTTTGGTTTAACTTATTTTAAGAAAACCCAGTGTATAAAAATTTGGATTTATAAAACATGTAAATCACGTATCCTAGAAGATTTCTTTAAAAAGGATTGTTTCTAGGATGCCTGTACATGCAAGAATTTAATGTACCAAACTTTTGAGGGAGTTTTCTTTTCTTTCTTTCTGTCTTTTTTTTTTTTTTTTTTTTTTTTGTGTGTGTGTGTGTGTAAAATTAGGAGCAGCACTAATCAGTTCTTATAAAAGTCAAGATGTAAAAAGTAGTAGATGTTTTATTTTGCTCTGGGTCTCAGTAGAAAACAAAACAATGTTTATAATTAGGAAAAGTTAAAAAAAAGATTGAAGCTTTATATTAATCACTCAGGGTAAGTAATTTTCTACCATGGTATCATGTGGTTTTTAATAATTAAAATTATATTTTTGTATTTTATTCTTATTACTTATTTAAATATTTACTATATATATATATATATTTTTTTTTTTTTGTGTGTGGTGCTGGGGATCAAACCCAGGACCTCGTACATGCCAGGCAAGCACTCTACCATTGAACTGTACCCCTGGCCCACTAAGAATTTAATTTCCAACTTTAACATATTTTGTGTATTAACATATTAATATTATGCTTGTGTTTTTTAACTTTAATAGCTATTTCAGTGTACTAAATTGCTAGCTTGTGTATGTGTTAGCAGTTTAAGAATAATGATTATTTTAGTTATTCCCTCTTATTAATGTGTATAGCATAGTTTCAAGTATTTTGGCAGGAGGGAGGGTATTATAGTTTGGGGAAAGGAAAAAAGTAGAGAACATGTTTTTAACCCTAAAGATATATATTAAGGATATAACGCACAAAGATGTGGAATATCTTTGTGGTACAATGTCACAAAGGAGTAAATTAAAGATACATAGCCATTGAGAATCATCTTTCTATATTTTTATGTACTAAATGAGAAGATAAAACAAGTGGGCAAATAAGACTATAGCAAAATAGATTACATAAGAAAGATTACAAAGGTCAACATTATGCAAAACAATGCATCTTATTATTTATTTACAGTTATTTTTATCATACATGAAGAAGGATGCAGGATGTCTGGATAGGGGTTGAGGGATTCAAAGATGAGTAAGATAAAGTTATCTTAAAGAATATGTAATTGAGATGGAAAGAAAAGATAATCACCTAAAATAAGGTAACTAGCAGTCTAGTAATCTACAGTAAGGTCGATTCCAAAAATAATAAACATTTTGTGTTGTGATGTCCTATGATTCGATCTGTACTAAGGCAAATAATTAGTTTCATTGATCTTACTCTCTAATTTGTTGATTGAATCAGTCATATGTTGTGAATAAACCATAGCTTAAACTTTATACCTAAATTCTGAATGATTTTAGGGGAAATTGTAGAGGGGAATTTTTATTTAAGTTTCCTGTGGTGTTTGAAGTTTTCTGGAAAGAGCGGTAAAAGATCCTGAAAAGAAAATTTGAAATAGAATTCTAGAAACCAGGTTTTAAAAATCACTGATGATAATTTGTGTGGTCAAGATAAGTCACTTCACCTTTCTGGATTTTTATTTTCTGGTTTGTGTAATGAAGTGTTTGGAAGTTCTCTACAACATTAAATGCTTATGTCTACATTTCAGAATTGTAAATTTAATGGTAGCAGTGAAGTGATTTGCTTGGAGAAAATAGGTTTCATGGGTATTAAGTGGAGGTGTGGTTGAATAGCAAGGAGTAGGGGATCTTGAAGGTAAGTGTGTGGCTTACGTTACTAATGCCAAGTTCATTTGAAGGTTTTCCTTTGATTTGGTAGTCACTAAGAGATCCATGAAGCAATCTACAGATATGGTGAGTGAAAATTTGTGAATATCACCTTGGCAGTTAAATATAGTTTGACTTAAGGCAAAAAGACCATCTAGGGGAGTCAGCAAGATAAATGCTTTGCTATATTATTTATTTTTAATCTTGACAACCTCTCTGAGGTTGATGTTATTACCTGACAATTGAGGGAACCTAGGGATGGAGAAGAGATTATGTGATTTGCCCACAGTCAGACAGCTACCAAGTGGTAGAACTGGGATTTGAATTCATATCTGTCTGAGTCCAGGAATTAGGTGCTGATCTCAAAACCATTACCCCACCCCACCCCCATACTGTTGCTTTTGTTTTAGGGGGTGATGACAGAAGCCTGGGTTAGAGTAGTGGAAGTTGTGGGGAGAGGGAAGTGCTTTTCTTATCCCCTTCTTATTCAGCCTACTGTCTGCATTCCTACAGAATCAGCATCACCTAGGAGTTATTAGAAGTACTGAATGTCTGTCCGCACCCATAAGACCCGTAGGTATTTGTTAAAGTTTGAGGAGCTCTGTTCTAGAGGCATTTGTCATACTGACCCTTGCAGCTGCAAAAAAGGTGAGCCCAACCATGCAATTACATGCAAGGGGTACCCAATGAGCATTTGTGACCAGGCATTGTGCTGGGCGACATCTTGAAGTAGGTAAAAAATACTCTCTGTGTCTACCTACCTCTACTTGTTTTTGTCTTGAAACCCTTGCACTGTGGCTTCTTAAGCTGTACAGAGCCCCTTTTCCAAGGCTGCTATCTGTGGGTTGTTGTCCCATTTTGGAACTTTTTTCTGGAGATTCTTTCCTCTCAAACTCTGTTAGGTAAGGCTCTGATAAATTACTCCTAGGAATATTTGCATGTTCATAGGGGCAGTGCCTTTAACCCCGGGGAGTCCAAGCTCCACTTACAGATCTTTAGGCATCAGTACAGGCTAGGGGGTAAAGATGTTAGTTATTTCAGAGCACCATCTCTCATGAGATTTAGGCTTATCTTTCTTAACATGCATATGTGGATTTGGTCCCATTCTTTTTTGGAGACATTACAGTTAAGGCTTCCTGTCTTTGGTTGTGCGTCCTGTTTACAAATTGAGCCAAAGACTGAGTTTAGAGTTTAAAACTCAAAGAGCAGAGTTCCTTAAGATAGTGGAATGACCAATTTGGATATAGAGAGAGGGGTGCTATCCTGACATAAGACTCTAAGGAGGGTGCCTTTTCTCCAGGAAACCTAACATGGAAGTGGCTATGCTCATGGTGGGAATAGTACCTTCAAGGAAAGATAAAGGCTTATAAGGTTTAAAATGAATATTTATTGAGTGTGGCACCATCTGCCAGATTCTTTCATGGAATTTGTGCCCTTTTAATCTGTTCAAAACTACCTCTTAAGGAGACATTTTCCCTTTTTAAACTTAAAAAATGGAGACTGAGAAAGGAGTAGAACTTTAAATTTCTTTGGTCTTTGTAGTAGAAAGACCAAAGGAATTGAAATTTGTTGCTACTTATAAAATTAAAGTAGCATTTGTTTTTAAATTATAGGAGACATGCATGTGGGTAAAAATAAAAAGCAGAGTATACAATATGAAGTAACAGCTTACTTTTTCTGCCTTATTCTACCTTTAGGACTGCTTCCCAGAGGCCACTGCTCTTACAGGTTTTTCTGTAGTTTCCAGGGCAACTTTGTTTATTTATTTTTAAATATATTTTTGTTTTTAATTGGGACATAGTAATGTACATATTTATGAGATATAATGTACACACTGTGTTAGAATAACTAGAAATTACACTTTTTGGTCTTGTTTGACCAACTATAAATGGTATCTTTTGACTCCTGCAATAATGAATGCTTCCTTAAAGCTTCTCTCCCATTTCTCTCTCTCAAGTTTTTATTATTATATTCTTAATTCTTTTTGTGTTAGCATTTGACTTAAGTAATCTCCCCCCTCCTCCTCTCCTCCTCTTCCTCCCCCTCCTCCCCTCCTCCTCCTCCTCCTTCTCCTCCTCCTCCTCCTCCTTCTCCTCCTCCTCCTCCTCCTTCTCCTCCTTCTCCTCCTCCTCCTTCTCCTCCTCCTTCTCCTCCTCCTCCTCCTCCTCCTCCTCCTTCTCCTCCTCCTGCTCCTCCTTCTCCTCCTCCTCCTTCTCCTCCTCCTCCTCCTCCTCCTCCTCCTTCTCCTCCTCCTCCTTCTTCTCCTCTTTTACCTCCTCCTCCTCCTTCTCCTCTTTTACCTCCTCCTCCTTCTCCTCCTCCTCCTCCTCCTCCTCCTCCTCCTCCTCCTCCTCCTCCTCCTTCTCCTCCTCCTCCTTCTTCTCCTCTTTTACCTCCTCTCTGTTTCCTGTCCCACTCCACCTCCTTCCCTTCCTCCTGGTCCCTTTCCTCTACTGAACTCCCTTCTATTTTCATGGTACCCCTCCATTTTTCTTTTCTACCTTCCACATATGAGAGAAAATATACAACTTTGACTTTCTGAGTTTGACCCTCAACCCTTTTATTTTTTATTTTGTGGCAGGGTATCACTGAGTGGCCCAGGCTGACCTTGAGCTTTTAAACCTCCTGACTCAGCCTCCTGAGCAGCTAGGGTTACAGGTGTGGGCCACTATACTTGACTTATAATATTATTCTTATTTTGTAATGTACCAATCTCAGTGCCTATTGATTGCACTTTAAAATATCAAGAAATTAGTGCACCCAGCCTTCTTCTCATCTCTCTTCCCACCCTTCAATTTCAGTTTTTTTTTTTTAGAGAGAGAGGGGGAGGGAGGGAGGGAGGGAGGGAGAGAGAGGGATTTTTTAATATTTATTTTTTAGTTTTCGGCGGACACAACATCTTTATTTGTATGTGGTGCTGAAGATCGAACTCAGGCCGCATGCATGCCAGGCGAGCACGCTACCGCTTGAGCCACATCCCCAGCCCTCAATTTCAGTTTTTAAAAATGGCATTATTTTTGCAGTGTTAAGCTCTTTAACATTTATATTTGATTTTCTGGTTCTAAATCTACTGCTTTGTCTGCCAGTTGGATTTTGAACATTGGTCCTTTTCCTTTATGCCATTACGTTTTCTTCAAAGGTCTGGAGATCCTTCCTTGGTGAAGGCGTCTTCTTAGGAGTGAAGAGCTGCTGGAATGGTGAGGAAGTTTGTGTGAGAGTCTTTGCATGTCTCCTGTTCTAAAAGGCTTTCATTTGCATAGAAAGTCTGACTGGGGCTTTGCATGGAAAGTGAATCAGGTAGGCTAAGCTGTCCTATAATAGACATCTTAGTAAGGACCAGAGAGGCAGACTGGTACCCCCCAAATTGCCAAAGTAAGTAGGACATTACTTGAGAAAATGAAATGCCTGTGTTTCATTGCTAGGTACAGGGTTTCACCCTCTCCATCCTGGGTGAACCTCTGTTCAACTTTTCTCTGGGTTCCAGTGTTCTTACTGGGAGCTGTCCTCAAGCTAGTGCCCTTTGTTTAGAGAGTAGAGCACAGGATTTAGCCCAAACTCACAAAGACCTTTACTGCCAGCTACTTTCGAGGACGGACTCAATGGTTCTTGCTGGTTTGATTACAGTTTTTTAATGAGTGACCTTCATCATCATGTCATTGTACTTATGACATCTGTACAGCTTCTTCAGGATAACTTGCATTCAAAAGGAATTGATTCTGTAATTACCCATTGTAGACTTTTGACCAAGACAATATGATGAAAAGTGGTATTTTTGATAGACATAGCTAGTTGTGCTATATAGATGGATTATAGGGGATTTAGTCAGTGAGATAAGAGGCTATTCCATTAAGCCATGTATAAGGAGATCAGAGACTCGACTAGGATAGGGAACAACAAAACTGCCAAGGACAGAATACATCTGAGGAAGAATGGGCAGGGCTGGTAGAGGCTATGTATAGAATTTAGAAAAAAGACCAAAGATGATTGTAAAATTCTAAATTTTAATGACTAAGAAAATTGACTGAAGTGTGAAATTTTGGAGGAGAACAGGTTTGGACAAGATGAAAATGATGGTGAATTTGGGTTTAAATGGTTGAATTGAGCTGATAGTGACATCCAAACTGCCTAGTAATTAGCTAGAAATATGGGAATGGAGCTTTATGGAGCCTTTGCTTACCCTTCTTTTTCTTGTTTCATCCCTTTTTTTGAAGATATGAGATGAGACATACCTTAGTCACCTTAAAAATGAAATATAGTGTTTGAGAATCATTTTGTTTGTGTTCAGATACTAGCCTCTATTACTTTGTGGCCTCCAGCAAGTTGCCTACTTTGAGTTTCTTCATTTATCAAATGATGATAATAATTGTATCCATATTCCTTTGGCTAGGATTAAATATAAAGATGATATAAATTAAAATTAGCATAAATTTAATATAATTATAATGTGTGGTTAATATAAGTTTATATAAATATAAAGCATATAAAGATACTAGACTATTTCCTGACTCAAGTGTAGGGACATGTTAAATGCAGATTGTTATCCATCTATTTTGAAGGTTGCCTTATATGTTTTATTTCTGTGTTTAAAACAGCTGTGTGCATGAGGTCTC